TGCCTACTATGAAAGCATTGAGCGAGAAGGGTGGGGTAGGACCACTTAGATACCCAGTGTGTTGGAGTCCCCTAGAGTCTATGGAGCATATATTCTTGAACTGCAAGGTGACTGAAGAGCTCTGGGTACGGAGTGATTTGGTGGGAGAACGACAATGTTTGGATGGGATGAATATGGCACTGGTCTTCCGTCGTATGATCGATCGGATTGTGGAACCAGCGAGGATCATGCAGATAGTTGCATTGCTATGGCAGATATGATAATCTAGAAATGGGTGTTTTTGATCATTTTCAATATTCTACAGATGCTTTGCTACGACGGTATCATAATTAGGTTAGGGAATGAATGGAATTGCCTGGTCCCGGGGTGGTGAAAAATCCTAATATACCGCGCAGGATGGTGGAGAAGAGTGTCTCTACGCCTTATATTTGTTATGTTGATGGTGAGGTAAGGATGTGGCCCATGCCTCTGGTGGGATTGTGGTAGAGGATCAAAAGGGGTCTGTACTTTTTGTGCAAGATTTTGTGTATGCAGGTTTGACAGATCCATTTGTGAGTGAGTTAATGGCTTTCCGGGATGTCATTCGCTAGTGCTCTTTGAAAGGTCTTATAGAAGTCTCATTCCTGGGTGATGCTCAAGTTGTTATTTCCAAAATCAAGGACCGCAAGACTTGCTATGGGCGAGGTGGAGCTATCTTAGAAGATATATCTCAACTTAGGGAATTATTAACATTGTTTTCGGTCGGGTTTCGAGGCAGGGAGAACAATCGCTCATTTGGTAGTTAAAAATGCTCTTTCTTTGTTTCCTATAGGTGTTTGTGGGTTTGATTTTCGGGTTTGGTTTTTATGTGGTGTGTAAACATTGGTAACTTTTTTCTTGGTAATGCAAGTGAACTTTTGGAGAAAAAAAAAGATAGACTTTTTTAAACATATTAGAAAATGACACCTAATTCATTAATCTATTAGTTGAACAACTAAGTACAAAGAATTATGCAATCACACTGTCACATGGAAGTTAAAAAAAGATAAACCACGGTGTTAGTGGATGAATGACCAACCCGAAATTTGGTTTCTCTATATGTATCGGTAGACATAATTTACAATCGAAAATAAAGATTTATTGGATGATAATCACTTCTCACAATCGAAATCTATTCAAAAGATGAACGTGCATGAACTAAACTTGAAAACTCCTATTTATTTCTTAACCTCCTATGCCAAGTAAAAACACTCGAGGATCTTATCATAAACTGAGCAAATGGGGTCATATATTATGTGATCTGAACGTCAAAATGAAAATTAGCACTAATGAAATTTCTGGCCACGAACAGAAAATGATAAGAAAGAAGAGGTCTGGCAGAACCTAATTTCTCTTATGGCAAAAAAGAAAGAAAAAAACCTAATTTCTCTATAATTTTATTACCAGCGTGGGGCTGAACGAAAACGAGATAATGAGTGGAATTCATTTTAAAAGAGGAACCACAAAACATAACAAAATTTGGTTTTATGAAACAAGCAAATGGAGTTGACCAATTTACAAATGTCAATTCTGGATCCGGATAAGAAATATATATATATATAAAAAAAGGAAATGGTTGGTGCCTTGGTGGTGGCGAGGGAGATACGTGGCACACCCTAATGCACTTCCCTAATAAGTTGATCAATTTTTAGCTTCTTTATTTTGTTTGTTTAGTGCGCCAATATTCATCTTCTCTTGTCCACCAAAAACAAAGATTCAATGAAAATTCATCATATGAATCAAAACAATGCAATTTCAATCACTTGGTAAGAAATTGAAAATATGTTTTCGAACAAGCATAAGCACAATTAGGACTTCTGGGGATAAAGGTTGTTGAAGAACATCGGCTTCTTTCGGCGATAGTTGAGACTTGAGATAGGTTGCCAAACTTTTTTTATATTAGACTCGGCAAAAAAGAATTGTTGTACCGAAAACTTATTAACTTTGTTATGAAATCAATGAAATTGCGAGCCGAAATGAGGATATATAAAAATATAGTAATTTACTATTAGAAGATCCAATGAAACTCATATTATAGCATATACACTCTTTAGACGAGTTCAAACACTACGAATAAATAGACTTCTTGTTTTCCTTATCTCTGAACTCCAGATTCACAGATTTCCTTCTCTCAAATACGATTCGTTCATTAAAATTACAATTTTACTCTAGACAAATTTTACTAAACGGAACACTAATTTAACAAGCACACCTCATTTAACAAATAACAGTACACAGTTATCATACAATTGATACTAACAGTAGCATCCATTTTCCATTTCACCAAACATACACAACACAACCATTAGATATGTTCTCTGAACAATCACTTTGTATATGTAGTTCCAATCCACACCTAAGATAACCTAATTTTTCTCAGTAAAAGCATGGCACGTTATGCTATCACCAGCTTATTAAGGTACAAATTAAAAGAGCAGGTAGAACTTGAACCAATAGATTACTGGTAGTCATGAGAGCACAACCACCCTCCCTGAAGATTGGGACTTCTTGGACAGGATGAGGCTGGCTGCTGCACTGCCATTATTGGTGGGGAGTTTTAAGGTAGTGTCAACTGAGTGCTCTATCATCATTATTTGAAATTGTTATATTTCCAAAGTCAAATTACTCAAAAGCTAAACCTACCTAATTATATTTTATTCAGTTTAAGAGTCAAGATAGTTTATGACATTTCACATTATTTTAACTCGATTTCGGAATCAGAAATACTGTTGAAGGAATTCTTAGTCATCTTTTAGTTATTTCAAATCAAATGATAAAAAGATCTTTGAATGAGAAAAATATCTTTATTTTTCATTACTATTTTTCTTAGACCTTTCCACTTTCACTCCCATTAAAAAAGGTAATGACTATTTATTACCCAAACCTTTTTTCAGATTCTTTTTTAATAACCAAACCTATTGAAATACTAAGAATTAACCAAATGTTAACTTCTCATTAGCAATTTTGTTAGTAATAGACTTTGCAACATGATAAATGAAAGTCAACATTCCAAAATTTTAGTATTTTTAACTAAGAAAAGAGTTACAAACTGACGATAACGTAAAAATGGCTAATATTTTGATGCATTATGAAAGATTTGGCTAATAACATTTTAACAGGTCTAGATAATATAAAAGAATATGAAAAAGTGAATAAAAAATAGACATTACCAAAAAAAACTATATAAATTGTCTTATGTAAAGTTTTCAAAGTACGATTAACATCTAGATTTGAATTCACTACTTATATACCTGGTATAGGCCATAACTTACAAGAACATTTTGTAGTCTTATAGTAAGAGGAAGGGTTAACGATTTGCCCACTGTAGATATCACATCGTTTGAAGAACCCTAGATGTTGTCGGAGTAAAATATCATCAGTAACTTAGCATTCTATCAAGAGAGTACCTCAGTTGAATTTTGTAACAGTGGATCCAATCAACTATACATATTTAGCAATCATCTATGCTGGTGCCATCCATTCACTGCATGTTCATGATTGAGGATTATTTCTCTCACATTCATAGACAACTTTGTGGTTGATCACCTCCTCGATTTATCTACGCAATTGATTCATCAAATGCAAATTTAGCAAAACTTAGCCTCTTTTCTTCTTCCCCCTCCCCTTCCTATAGTGTGTGTGCTTCTCTGTTCTACCTCCAAAGTAAATGTGCACAAGTAATCAGATTCTATCTAACCACCATCCCATAAGTAACCATATCCCATCAATACAAGTTTACTTCCTTCCAATCCACCTGAAAATCACTGTCATTACCTAAATTTTGACAGACAAATATGCTTATTCAATTCACGAATTAGATCTTTCAAGGCCAGACAGCATGTTTGGTGACACAAACAAGCCTGTTACTTGGTCGGCCTTCCAACCTAAAACCCTCCAAGGACAGAAGCCAAAGAAGGCTGAACAAGTCGAACTCCCCACAAGGCATAAGAAAATAACATAAGTTTTCTAGCATCTGGTTCAACAAATTGACAGAAAACTGTTCATAACTTGAGGTATGCAGAACATCTAGTGGTTGAACAAATCACATTACTTCCAAATCAGAGTGACCTATTTTCTAGATTTCCTTGACTACTTCATATAGATTGACCTATTTTCAGGACTTAGAAGCCCTAGAAAATGTTGAATGGTAATTTGCAATTAACCTTGCCATCAATAAACATCACACATGGTGGGCTCATTTGATAATAATGGATGAGTATTAATCATGATGAATGGAGGGCCAAATGATGGAGTGTCTTGCCAACAAAGATGACAAGAAGAGTGAACTACCACTGAATTATGAGAGGCATTTATCATGAACATTAGATGGATTGGATGCCCAACAAGATAAGGAAATAATGCATGGTGGACACACTTAAGTTAATGCCTTCTCAATTATGTTCACATGCATGTAAGAAAGATTAAGTGTCTGCATGTGGTGTGTTGTTGTTTCTCTCTTTCATTTTTACAATTATATATACATATGTAGTATGGAGTGTGTCAGAGGGTGTAAGAGAAGCAAAAAGAAAGAAAGAAAAGAAAGCTTCTACGTGTGTATGAAAAAAGCAAGTGTCAATAATAAGGCCTTGTTTGGTTAAGTTCATTTATAAATTGAGTGATTAAACACCAATTGTTTTCTTTGTTTTGATCATAAATTACCACTACTTCCGCTAAATACCCAACAGAAAAGAGCTATTAACTGTTTTCTGACTTCAAAAGTAGAATCTTGCTAGTATTATGAAGCAGGCATGCACATCAAGTATTAAAGAAATAGAGCTTTCCTAAGTACAACAGGTAACAGTACTTGAAAACAATTCCTTCCAAATCATAGATTCTACTAAATAATTCTTTAGTTAGCAATGATTGCCGAGATAGATTACATGGAAGTATAAATCCTAAAAGAGACAGGAACTAAGTGGCATTTTGTGACTAGAGACGATCCATCCAACTCAGAACAAGGCAAACCAATAAGACGATTCAAAAAGCTAGAGAAAAATTATAAGGCGGAGATTGCAATTCTAGAACCTGTATGTCAATATCTCACTCATTATGATCGTAACCATGAAAAGGATTGGTACAATTTCTGTGCATACAGACTACAACCACCAGTGGCCAAAGAAGAATGCTTCAAAGGACTTTGTGATACCACACGGGATAATCAAATACACACAACAGAAACTACAAGATTGCAAGTAACGGTCATTCTTACAATCATGAGTGGTAAGTAGAGTAAGTAACTAACGGTGATCTGGAGGCACCCCATTAGTCTTCACCAGGTCCATCTTGCAACTCTCTCTCAAATCTTTCAGTGCAAGGAAGTTCTTCTCCTGCAAAAGAAGAACCCATCAAGAGACACAACAAAGATGTAAGAATTTGCTTAATGGATGAACAATGGCAAGTAAACTTATAGCTATGGCTTAGAAAGGAAATGGATAATTGCAAGCCAGGCCTTGAGATCTTAGGCCAATAATGAGGTTCCTATAACAGACCAAGTGTCTGATCACAAGACCTGCAACAGACTTGAATCTTCAAGACTATACATGCAAATTTAACATAGAAATGAGAGTTTTTTGCTCACAATCTGGCAGCTTTCATGAGCAAATATATCCTCCATGTGCTGGAAGAGTGATCTCCATTGCCAGGTCAAGTCAGTCTCGAACTGAAGTGAGTTGCTGGCGCTTCCTTGATTGGGAACTTCAGCCTGCCTTCCCCTGGAAAACTTGTTTACCAAGATGCTAGCTTCTTTCTGACTCTTCTTCAATGCTATACAGGAAGCAAGAAACTAAATGAATCAAAATAAAAAAGAGCCATTTTCAAACGAAAAGGTCATGCATGACAGTAAGAATTCAGTTTTCTTCCACAGAAGCTTACAAGATAATCGACCCTTGATGTCCTGGTAGTGGAGGTCAGACCACATAAAAGCAGCTGATGATTACAGATAACAAAACCTTTCATTAGTACCTTATAAGAGAGCTGATATTGTGAGTTATAAATCAAGTAAAGTTGCAAAAATATGTGAGCAAATACAGACCTGTCAAACAAAATGAACAAGAACAGGTTTTCAAGAAGTCAGCACCCAACTCTGCATTAGCACAGGCACCTCCACTGCTTTCTTCAAACCTTGTGCATCTATCCAACTGAAAGGATTTCGAATTCTGGGAACTGAGCAACATTGAGCTCTCATGAAGCTCAGCTTTCTCACCATCCAAATCATCAACACCAGGATCTCTGCTCTCACTAGTCAAACCTTGACTACCGGCAAACTCCTCAGCAACTGATTGGCTCAGTGACACATTGTAAGAGACCCTTACATCATCATCACTATCGGTCCTGCTAGACCCACAGCTATCTCTTGACCCATCTCCAATTTCTCCCACACCTTTCTCAACAACATCAACACTACCATCTAAGAGGTTTGATGCTTCTTTGGTTTCAGTTGGGTGTCCATCTGAGAGCAAAGAGGCTACATTGTCAACTCCATCACCAATGCCGATTTCACTAGAAACAGGATCCGAATCGTGAATTTGGCCATCTTTCTTGAGAAGAAGAACACCCTTCCCTTTACCGTCACCAGTAGTCTTAAACCCAGATTTACACTTCTCCCTCACCAAATTCTCCACTCCTAAACACACCTGCTTCGCAAAACCTGAATTCTCAAAACTTTCGACACCTTCGACGGATTTCAACCCTGAATCTCCATAGATCGACGAAAACCCTCTCTTTAGTGACTGATTCGTCAAATCCCCTAGGGCTTGGCGGGGCTTAGAAACCCCATCAGTGATATTTCCCCCCGTCATCCTTAACCCTAAGAAATGAAATCAAATACGCAAAACCCTTGAGACCCACCTCCAGAAATAACCCAAAATCGAAAACCCAGCTCGCCGATTCAAGGAAAAGGGAACGGGGAAGTGTGGATTTTACTCACAGATCTGGAAGAAAGCTGATTAGCGTTGACCGCGCGAAGCGTATAAGAGCAGAAGGAAGGGTGAGGAGGGAAGCGGGTCAGCAGGTGGTCTATTTATCCTTCCTTTGGGGATGGGAATGGCGTTTGTAAGCATCAATACCAGCTTGATTTTTGCTGCCGAGGTCTGCAATTTTGGCGAGTAAACCCGAAGAAAATTGAAGTTCAAATATTTGTGGGGGCGGGAAGGAAAATATTAGGGGAAAGAATCGGGTCCCTGAACCGCGGGGGTATTTTTATTCCCGCCGCACTATCCCAAGTCTGGCAGTTGGGCTTCAAGATGGGCTCAAACAACCAACCTAGTTCAGGCTCATTTAAGAATGAAGCCAACATATGCTGTGAAGAGTTAGTCCACGCTATTTGTCGTCCTAAGGCCCTTAGGCCCCTTGACTAAGCTCAATTTGGATCCATGAATCAATCCACCAATCCAAATGATCCAATCTATGAATCCAACAATCTATGAATCCAATCAATTTGACACCTTTAACTTCCCTAATTAAAATAGCTCAGAAAATATATAACACACAGAAATCAGCTACAAAACCAAAATTTATCATACTGTCTAAGTGTCCCGAGTTGTTGGCAAAGGTTTATGATTGATGTTTTAATCACCTTCTTAGTTCTTACAAGTTACATGTACCTCATAAGAAAGTCAACTTATAAATTCGAAGTTTGCACTAGCCCGTCATACCATGTGCTTTAAAAGACAATGATTAATATTGTGAACGTGAGGACTTAAACATGTAACCTCACAGACAACCCAACTCGGATACGACGTCATAAACCAACTGGTCTCATCTCAATTACTCGAGTTGTTGGAAGAGAGATACGTATACAATACATACATAGGAGAGTGGCGTTTGAGATCTAGTATCGATGGAGTAGCACCCGTCAACCAAAGAAAGATTCAGAGTCATCGCCATGTTGTCAAAATTGAGCTCTGATACCAATCTACAAATATATTATAGCAGAGTTGGAGACAGTTTTTTAGTATTTCAAATTTCTGGCCACGAAAACGAAAGTAGAGAGAGTAGATTTGTACTCGCAATATATTATAGGAATTGAGGAATCTCATAAACAGAGACCTCACCTCACGACAGAATTAAAAAGCAATACCAATGGATCTAGCTAGCTTGTCATGGCTAGTTCTTTGATCGGTAATTAAGCCCAACTATTCTTCTCTATATAGAGACGGGAAAAAGCCGTCTAGAGACCCATTAGCACATGGACCAAATTTTTAGCGAGTTTGGGCTAAGCGGGAGTCTGTTGCACCTAGAGTAGTTGTTTGTTAGGGTTTGGGTAGGTAGGATTACGTATTAGGTTTTTTACCCTACAAATATGCAAGTTCGGTATTAGGGTATTAGTCCGAGACAATCAACAAACTAAAGAATTTTCCAATACCTAAGTCGTTCTCTTGCTCGAGCTATACAAGCAAAACTATGGAATCGAAAGTAAAGAAAGAGACGGCGTCGTCCCGCAGCAGCAGCAGCAAGAGGATGAAGCTGAAGCTGGTGATTGACAAGAAGAAGAAGAAGGTGATATTGGCCGAGGCCCAGAAGGACTTGGTGGACTTTCTGATCTACCTCCTCACCCTTCCTTTAAGCGCCGTGGTGAAGTACCTGCAGGCCGGCGCCGACGAACAAGTCCTGGGCAGCATCGGGAAGCTCCACGGCAGCGTCGTGTCGATGACGAAGGAAGGGTATATGAAGGCTCCTTACAGCGTTTGCGGCCACATCCTCGTCCCTCAACTGTACACCATCGCCTCCATTCTACCGAAGCTCCGCGACGACGTCACGCACCCCAGCGAGGCGGACTACGTCATGGAAAAGGTCCAATACATGGTGGCCGACGACCTGTCGGTTTCGCCGTTGGATTTCAACTCCGTTTTGGCTGCTCTCAAGCGCTGCGACGACCCTGGTGACGTGGTGGAGAAGGAGGTCGAATTCGGGACTTCTGAGGTGAATCGATCGATGATGTTTTTTTTTTTTTTGTTAGTTTTTATATGCTCTATAAACATGTTTGTATGTTTTGTTTGTTTGTTTGTTTGCAGGCTCTGGCGTTGTTGAATGCTTCCTTGCATTCCAAGGAAGCTCTCACTGCCGTGTTTCTCAAGACTGAACCACCGAAAGTGAATGTTTGAGTTCGTAACCTCTCCTTCTCCATGCAGCCAAATCGATGTCCACCGTTTGACTGTTTCTTAATTTGTTTTACCAGTGTTTTAGTTTTTTTCCTTGTTATCATGAGGAGAGATAGATAATATTTTTTTTGATACGTTGGTCTTAATAATACATTGGCATCAGAATTGCCGTTTGTGGGAACGATTAGGGTCACCTTGTACGTTTGATCAATTGTTCGAATCGGAGGCTTTAAGGTGGAGTTCGATTGCGGTGGTTTACTGGTTTAGATTAGGCTGGAAATTGAGTTATGGTTGGTACAAGGTAACAAACTGAACCCCCCAAAGTGAATGTTTGAGCTCGTCATTATTGATCGGCCTTGTTTCAGAACGACCCTGTTTCCTTCGACTATAGTATCCCTGCAGCCTAATCGACGCCCCCTGTTTCTTGATTTCTAGCTTTTGGCAGTGTTTTACTATTTCCTTGTTATCATGAAGAGAAATAATATTTCTTTGACATGTTGGTCCTAAATCCTAATAATACATTGCATCAGAATTACCGTTAATGGGAATGATTAAGGTTTACCTTATGTTTTATCAATTACCGAATAGGAGGCTTCAAAGATGGAGTTCGATTGCGGCATTTTAGATAATTAGGCTGGCAAACGAGTTATGGTAAAAGTTAACAAACTAACTAGAAGGCAAACACGGCAGGATGCACTCAGGGCAAGCATTCCTACCATATCGATTGGTCGGACCGGAAATATCGGAGACTGGGGTCAAATGATATGTGGTTTTAGAGGTAGGAAATAGTAATCACGATTTTAATACAAAATATACAATTACTGTCTTTTCCGGTATAACCTTCAATACAATTTCACAATTCTTGCAAGGTTATTGCAACACTTGAGAGCACCCAAGACATGTGGATATTAGATGGATTTTCTAACCTTATTGTAGTGTCTATATATATACGCCTGCGTATATATTATTTGTAATTTGATAATTCTGACAAATTAAAATCGTTTTTTTTTTCATTTTAAAATTAAATGAATCTTATGGTTTGGGTTAGAGAATTGGGGACTTGGGTTCTCTCATTAAAGGTTAGGGTGTAATATCATGCTCCAAACTCCGGTTAATTCGTGGTCCAAATAACAAACTTGACGGGCGTAAGCTAGCCTGAACCATATATATATATATATATATATATAGTCTTGTCTTCGGTGCACTCACTTTTTTTGGTGCATTCAATGCACTCGCCTCATAATTGTCATTCCGAGCATGTGATTCATGTCAAATGGTATCGATCGTCAGTTGTGATATGATGAATAACAAAAACATGAATTTCAGAGAAAAAAATCATTCAAGATTTACTTCAATTTGAAGGATTAAGGATTTATGGATTAAAGGTTAGGATTATGGTTTATAATTTGGGGTTTTGGGTTTGTGTTCAAAATTGAAGGTTTATGGGTTATAAGGTAATTGATTGATTAGTTGTGAACATATGTTATATTATCATGTCAGACTAATGCTACCAATTAAAATCCAAAATTAGATGTCTTAATGTTACTTTTAGAGTTGGGTGCTTTGTATGCACTCATTTTTATGGGTCCACCGAAGTAGTCGCCATATATATATATATATATATATATATATATATATATATATATATATATATATATATATATGGGTGATTCTATCGTACCTTGGGTAAAATCAAGGGTACAACATACCTTGAGTAAAAAAATGATATCTTGACCTCGAATTGAGCATAGTTTGGCGTCTGATATTATTCCCAAACCCTTAAGGATTAAAATCTAGGTCTTAGTTTTATAAATCTCATACACTAAGATCAATTTAATTAGAAACAAAAATCAACGGCTATGATTTGTCGAAATATATGCAACAAATTACAGGCACAATCTTAGGGATTAGGCTCTTTGATTTAGAAATTTAAGACCTAGGTTTCAATCATCAATGGTTAGAGTATAGTATCATGTCCAAAAATTCGGTTAATTCGAGGTCTAGATAGCATTTTTTTACTCATGGTATGTCGTACCCTAGATTTTACCCAAGGTACGATAGAAGCCACCATATATATATATATATGTATATATATATATATATATGGTGATGACTAGTGTACGTCAGGTTGTCTAGCCGTTAGATGTGGTTAGATGAGCTCCAGCGGACCTCAACGGTCCATCTTTGTTTTTCATTAAATCAAACTTTGGGTTAGGGTTTAGAAAATCGGTGCCTGGGGTTTATCCATTAGAGGTTAAGGTATAGTATTATATATATATATAGTTCTATCGTACGTACCTTGAGTAAAATCAAATGTATAATTAAGTAAGAAAATGATATCTAGACATTGAATTTATTGGAGTTTGGGACATGCTACTATATATATCCTAACCCTTAAAAATTAAAATCTAGGTCTTAGTTCTATAAATCTCATACACTAAGAACCATTTAATTAGGAAAAATAATCGTCGATCAAAATATATGCAACAAATTACATGCTCAATCTTAGGTTTAGGGTGTAGGATTTAGATAACTAAGACCTAGTATTTACTTGTCAAGGGTTATGGCGTATTATCATGCCCAAAAATTTGGTTAATTCGAGGTCTAAATATAGGTACGGCATGCCTTGAGTAAAAACACGCTATCTAGACCTCTAATTAACTAGATTTTTGGGCATGATATTATACCCTAACCCTTGGTTGGTGAACCCTAGTCTTAGTTATCCAACTCATAGAGCCTAACCTCTAAGATTGTGCATGTAATTTGTTTAATATATTATGACGAATCATGACCATTGATTTTTGTTCTAATCAAATTGATCTTCGTGTATGCGATTTATGGAATTAAGACTTAGATTTTGATATTTAAGGATTATAGTACAGTAGTACCATGTCCCAAACTCCGGGAAATTTAAGGTCTAGATATCATTTTCTTACTCAAGGTATATATGGCAAAGGCTAGCGTACATCTAGTGTACGCTATACTCCTGCGTTCACACCTATTATTTGTACTATGATAATTTCAACCAATCAGAACTGTTGATTTTAATTTCAAGATA